TTGAGTTCGAAAATTTGCTTGCAGGTCAAGAAGCCATGGCCAAGCAAATGGGAGGAGTCTCGCTGAAAGGTGAAGAGGAAGCGCTCTACACCAACAAAAGCAGAGGTACTTTTCAGCAGTACACTGGCAGTGGATCTAAAATGGATGGTGACAAGGTGAAAAATTACCAAGGAAAGGGAGGCCCTCATTCAGGGGGAGCATCCAAAAATCGCAGTAATAGTAGAAAGTTCGATGGCAAATGTTACAACTGCGGGAAGATGGGTCACATGGCAAAAGACTGTTGGACCAAGAAAAAGCATGTTGAAAGTAATACTGCTACTTCCAGTTCGAAGGAGAATAGTGAAGATGCTTGGGATACTGAAGCATTATTTGCTATGGAGGAAGAAGAATTAGCTCTCACGGTAACAACACCAGAACGAATTGACTACAAGAATGATTGAATCGTAGATTCGGGCTGCTCAAATCATATGAGACATCGACAAACAGAAGTTGTAAAACCTGTCTGAGTATAATGGAGGTCGTGTGGTGGTGACAGCTGACAACTCAAGGTTACCGATAACTCACATCGGTAAGACGATAATTACGCCTCGATATAATACTAACCAGGTGCAACTTCAAGATGTTTACCATGTCCCAGGAATGAAGAAAAATTTGTTATCTGTGGCTCAACTAACATCATCAGGTCATATTGTCTTATTTGGTCCCCAAGACGTGAAGGTTTATCATGACGTCAAAATCTCAGAAACACCAACAATAGAGGGAGGACGTTTGGAGTCAATTTACGTGATGTCAGCAGAGTCTGCATATGTAGACAGGACGAGAAAAATGAGACATCAGATCTATGGCACATGCGGTTAGGTCACGTTAGCTATTCCAAGCTAAGTGTGATGGTGAATAAGTAGATGCTTAAGGGGCTTCCTCAACTAGACGTGAGAACAGACACAGTCTGTGCGGGATGCCAGTATGGTAAAGCACACCAATTACCATATGATGAGTCAAAGTTTAAAGCAAAAGAACCGTTGGAGTTGGTTCACTTTGATGTGTTCGGACCGGTTAAGCAACAGTCAATTAGTGGTATGCGGTACATGGTAACATTCATTGATGACTTCTCCAGGTATGTGTGGGTTTTCTTTATGAAAGAAAATTTTGACACATTCTAAAAGTTTAAAGAGTTTAGAGACTCAGCTGAAGGAGAAGTAGGAAAGAAAATATGTTGTTTGCATACAGATAACGGAGGAGAATATAGATCAAGCGAGTTCTCTCAATACCTAAGGGGGTGTCAAATACGTTATCAGTACACTTGTGCCAACACGCCACAACAGAATGGTGTAGCAGAAAGAAAAAACCGGCATCTTGCAGAAATTTGTCGAAGTATGCTACATGCAAAGAACGTACCTAGAAGGTTTTGGGCTGAAGTAATGAGGACTACAGCCTTTGTGATCAACAGACTTCCTCAACCAAAGTTAGGATTTGTTTGACCCTTTGAGAAACTATGGAATATAAAACCTATAGTTAGCTACTTTCAAGTATTTGACTGTGTATGTTATGTGTTTGTTCTTGATCATTTACGGAGAAAATTTGACAAGAAAGCTGTTAGATGTATCTTTGTGGGATACGACAGCCAGAGAAAGGGGTGGAAATGTTGTGATCCAATTAGTGAAAGATGTTACATGACACAAAATATGGTATTTGAAGAAACATCTTCTTGGTGGTCCTCGGAGAAGGAGGTGTTGCCAGATTCGAGAGAATTTGGAGACAAGTTACTACAAAAGATGAGGGAGCATGTTGTTTAACTCCAAACAAGTTCAGATGAATCAGAAGATCCAAATGGCGATGATTTCGAACAAAGAGTGACTCAGAATCCTTGGCAAACTGGCGTATATCAACAACCAAATGAAGAAGGTGGGCCTAATGAAACAAAAGAATCAATTCCACAATCTCAACTCCGAAGGTCAACAAGAATACGAAGGCCAAATCCTAAATATGCTAATGCAGCTATAATTGAAGAAGTAACAGAGTCTGAGACGTTCGAAGAAGCATCGCAGAGTTCTGAGTGGATGACAGCTATGAAAGAAGAGATCGATGTACTTCAGCAAAATCAAACTTGGTATCTTGTGCCAAAGATAAAATATGTGAAACCCATATCTTGCAAATGGGCTTACAAGATAAAGCACCGTCCAGATGGGTCAATCGAGAGGTACAAGGCACGATTGGTAGCTCATGGTTTCTCTCAACAGTATGGACTAGACTATGATGAAACATTTAGTCCAGTGGAAAAACTTACAATCGTACGAGTCCTACTTGCACTTGCAGCCAACAAAGACTGGAATTTGTGGCAGATGGATGTGAAGAATGTTTTTCTTCATAGAGAGCTAGATCGAGAGATCTACATGACCCAACCAATGGGTTTTCAGAGTCAAGATCATCTTGAGTATGTGTGTAAGTTGTGAAAAACACTTTACGGATTGAAACAAGCACCGAGGGCGTGGTATGGTAAGATTGCTGAATTTCTAACAAAAATTGTCTATTCAGTAACACCTGCAGATTCTAGCTTGTTCGTCAAAGTCAATGAAAGTAAGCTAGCTATCGTGCTAGTCTACGTGGATGACTTAATCATAACCGGTGATGATGAGACAGAAATTCTTTAGACAAAGGAGAATTTATTAGTTCGTTTCCAGATGAAGGAACTTGGACAACTTAAGCACTTCCTTGGAGGTTGATCGCACGCACGAATGAATATTTCTATGTCAACAGAAATATGCTAAAGATTTGTTGAAGAGGTTTGGAATGCTCGAATGCAAGTCAACTTCAATGCCAATGGAACCAAATATCAAAATGTGTGCATATGAAGGAAAAGATTTGGAAGATGCAACAATGTATCGACAATTTGGTAGGTAGTCTGATCTACTTAACCTTGACCCGACCTGACATTTCTTATGCAGTTGGTGTGATGAGTCGGTATATGAAAAATCCAAAGAAGCCTCATTTGGAAGCAGTTCGACGAATACTAAGATATGTGAAGAGTACAATTGACTATGGTCTTTTGTACAAGAAAGGTGAAGACTGCAAGTTAGTTGGTTATTGTGATGCTGATTATGCAGGAGATCATGACACCAGGAGATCAACAACTGGGTATGTGTTTAAGCTTGGCTTTGGAACAATTTCTTGGTGTAGCAAGAGACAACCAACGGTGTCATTGTCAACCACTGAAGCTGAGTATCGAGCAGCAACAATGGCAGCTCAATAGAGTACATTGTTGATACAGTTGATGAATAATCTACATCAACCAGTAGATTATGCAATTCCGTTGTATTATGACAACCAATCGGCAATTCGGCTGGCGGAGAATCCTGTTTTTCATGCAAGAACTAAACATGTGGAAGTACATTACCACTTTGTTAGGGAAAAAGTTTTGCAATAAGAGATTGAGATGAGGCAAATCAAGACAGATGAACAAATTGTTGACTTGTTTACAAAAAGCTTGAGTGTTGGAAAGTTTGAACATTTCCGTCGTTAGCATGGCGTGATTCAAAGAATGAAGTCTAACATTGAGGGGGAGTGTTGAAAATTCAGTATTAGCCTAAATAAGTTCACACTTAAATTAATTTGATGTCATTGCTTACATCAATTTAGTTTTGATGTCATTGCTTACATCAATTTAGTTAGGTGAAAATTAAGTATTTTTCTCATGTTTTAATTTCAATGGTTTAGATTATTTAGTGATTATTTTAATGAGTGGTTTAGATTGTTTTCTTGTAACCTATAAATACCCTACTTGTATTTGAGTTTTATTATCCAACAATCAAACTTAATTATAAGCATTTGAAAGCTTTCTTAAGAGTTATTCCCTTTTGTAATTTTGTGAGATTATTCTAAAGAGAGTTTTTCTTCTTCTCGATCAATTAGAGTTTTTACTCTATTTTGATTCTACAGTTGCCTCCGGTCATTGGTTACTGCTGACTGCTGTGTAAACCAATGTTTAATTGTTGTCTATTGTTACCTTCGTTTGATTTGGCTTAAGAGTGCCTTCGAGTGAGCTAATTGTTGTCTATTGTTACCTTCGTATCATGTAGAGGAACTCTTTTTCCTACATATAAACTTTGGAAGATTTTTTAAGAAGGCTTCTACGGATTGTTTTGTTTTATAATTTTTCGATTTTTGAAAAGTTATAAAACATCCTTTTAAAAGAAAAAAATAACATTTTGGTGCGTGTCAATTTTTTATTACGGGGAACTCAAAATAATACAACTAAAAATCAAATTCGAATGATGCAAAAACTATTATGGGGAATAATTATATCAACTTATTTCTATTTTTTATGCATTTGATTTCAGTTTTATTTTCAATTTTCTGGTTTTTCAGCAATGTACAATTTCGAATTTCTGGTATTTAAAATTGGGCACCAAATTTTGAAAAATGGGTGACGGGCCAGATGATATGTAAGGCTTGTCTAGCATTACGGGTTCAATGGCCCATCAGCTGACAAATTGGATTTGTTTGGAAATTGCTTGTTTTGCATTTAAAAAGAACAATAATAGTTTGGCGGTGCGGTGGCAACAATGAAGAAAGAGCGGCCAAGTGCCAACTGTAATATGGGTGTCTGTAATGACTAATGGGTACCTGGTTCCTTCCTCGCCCCAACTCAAAAACGCACTCACAAAATAACAACTTTCGCTTTTGACTACCTCTCCCACGTTTGTTGTCATATCATTTATTTTTATTATAAGGCAGATTAAAATTATGTTCCTCGCGTTATACAGGTTTACACACAAAATATTTACTTATTTCTCTATCTCCTCTCAGTTGATAAACAAACTCCATAAATTCATCACCAAAAGCTCACGCAAATCCAAACAATAAAACATACCTGCCCCTGCTATATCGACTGTTGCAAAAATAGAAAGTTTTCTTTTGTTTTTTTGTTAGTGTTGGGTGAGACGCCGAGAATGCACGCCAAGACAGACTCAGAGGTAACCAGTCTCGCCCCATCACCGCCAATCCACACCAGTGCTGAGCCCCATGGGGTCACCACCGCACTCCCACGCCTCCGTTGACCACCACTCGCGTGAGTCCTCATCGAGTCGGTTTTCAGGGTCGCTGAAATCCGTATCCCGTAAGGTGTTGCCTTACGACGGGTCGTCTAGGGGAGCACATAAGCAGTGGAAAGAATGGGATGTTATTGAAGAAGAAGGGCTCCTGGATGATGGAGAACGTGAGAAGGGACTTCCTCGGCGTTGCTACTTTTTAGCTTTTGTTCTTGGCTTCTTCATTTTGTTCTCAATGTTTTCTTTGATTCTCTGGGGAGCTAGCAGACCCCAAAATCCCAAGATTACAATGAAGGAAATCTGCCGCCATCTCTCAGTCGTTTCTTTTGAGCTTTTTAGATTGAATTACGAGATGGGTTGTGATTGATTTGCTTTATTTCATCTTTGCAGAGTATAAAATTTGAGCAATTCAAGATCCAAGCTGGTTCGGATTCTACAGTGGTGGCTACAGATATGATCACCATGAACTCCACAGTGAAAATGATTTATCGCAACACTGGAACGTTTTTTGGGGTCCATGTCACCTCAACTCCTATTGATCTCTCATATTCACAAATCAACGTTGCTTCAGGAACCGTAAGTCCAGTTCCAAAAAAAAAACACCAACATTTTCATTAAATTAAAGTGTAAAGTCATTGAATCGCGGAGTTTCAGATGAAGAGGTTTTATCAATCGAGGAAGAGCCAAAGGTCTGTAACTGTAAACGGTTATGGGAAACAAGGTTCCATTGTACGGAAGTGGAGCAAGTTTGAGCAGTTCAACAGGAACGACGGCGCATCCAGTTTTACTGAAACTGAGCTTCGTTGTCCGATCAAGAGCTTATGTGCTGGGGAAACTGGTGAAGCCAAAGTTCACCAAGAAAATCGAATGTGACATAACTTACGATCCCAAGAAACCCAATGCTCCCATTTCACTCAAGAAATCTTGCACATACGATTCATAAAAAGTTGGGATCGCATGGAAAACACGTTGAAGATTCGTTCCTTTCTTTTTTGTTAATTTGTTCTTCTTTAGTAGGAAAGTGGAAATGAACGAGAAATACAGGTACGCGGGCAGGTTCAGACATTCTGAACAGGTAGTGAGGAACGCGGTTGTGGAGTTGTTGACGCTGCCCATGTGCCCATCAACTCAGAAACAGCACATTATTTGAAGAGAAAATCGCCTCAGTGACCAAAAAAAAAGTTATAATATAACGATTTAACCAACTTTTTTGGATTGTCAAAGACCAACAAAATCGCAACGCGAAATAAAAATCGCAACGCGATCCCCAGAATCGCAAATCAGTTTCCAAAATCGCAACGCGATTCTTGAAAATCGCAATGCGATAGTACAAATTCGCATTGCGATTTTCCAAAATCGCAACGCGAATATGAAAATCGCAACGCGAACACATAAATCGCAACGCGTATCCGTAAATCGCAACGTGTATCCGTATATCGCAACGCGTATCCGTAAATCGCAACGATAATACAAAATCGCAACGCGTATCCGTAAATCGCAACGCGATATTTAAGCGCCATTATAATCGCTACGCGTATTTATTTCAAATTACAAAAACGAATATTAAGACAAAATCCCGTAATCGCAACTCATAACCTAAAACCTAAAATCACAACTCAGTCCCATCTCCATCTCTCACTCTCTACGGGCGAAGAAATCCGTCCCCATCTCCGAAGATTTCCGTCCCCATCTCCGGCGAATCCCTCACAACCATTCACGTCAGAAATCCCTCACAATATTCAGAAATGGAAAATCAACCTCCGAGGGTTAGTTTTTTAATTATTTTTATTTTGAAATGTTTGCATTATGTAGGTTTTTCATATTGAAACTGATGATAAGTTTACTGGTCATTTCAATAATAGATTAACCATTTCACTTAGATTTCATTTCGCGTTACGATTCTGTCGTTGCGATTTTCATTTCGCGTTGCTATTCTCTCGTTGCGATTTTCAAGTTAGTATTTGTCTTGTCTTGTTCTGTCTTTTGGTTGAAGTAATGCAATCCATTCAAGTTTCAATTTGCAGAAGAGTCGCAACGAGATAAATGAAAATCGCAACGAGAGAATGACTGTCGCAACGAGAGAAATGAAAATCGCAACGAGAGAATAGCAACGCGAAATGAAAATCGCAACGACAGAATCGCAACGCGAAACCAAATCGCATTGCGTTTTTATTTCGCGTTGCGATTCTCTCGTTGCGATTTTCATTTCGCGTTGCGATTTTCATTTCGCGTTGCGATTCTCTCGTTGCGATTTTCATTTCAACCAAAAGACAAAACAATGTTGCAATTTTAGTTTCAAGAATAACTACTACTTTTTATGTTATTGTTTTGGTATATCTTCACAGTGTAGTTTTGGTATATCTAACTTGGTATGTTTATTGTTTTTGTAGAAATTTTTTCGGCTCAATTGACCTTGAGAAATAAGTCAGCCTGGCCACTACAATTGCTTCGAAGCTTTCACCTGCTCAAAGACAATTGTTTGAGGAAACCTGCTTCGGGCCATGGCTGAGAGTACAGCATCCGGGTGGAGATGCTAATTTGACCCATTTGTGGCTTCAGACCATGACATCAAATCTACCCGACAGTATACAACGGTGAGGAAGAGATATGGTTTCATTTTCCACCAGCGTATACTTGTTTTGGGCGGAAGGAGTTCTGCTTAATCACTGGTCTACGATTCGGACACGATGATGTAGGCCGGTACACTCGTCATATCGCCCGCCCATCATGGTTATCCCGGGTTTTTCCGGATGAGTCAATGGAGAAGCCGAACCTACAGTCGACGACCTGAAGAAATTGTTTAATAGAAAGCTGGTTTCACTCGGATGGATGACGTCGATGTTGTCGAGTATGCCTTCTACTTGTGTATGCCGGCTTTTTAGGCAGAGAGGCCAGACAACCTATCATCGGGAGCTAATAATATTGGTAGAGGACCTGAATGCATGGAATCTGTTTCCGTGGGGTTCGTATATGGAAAGTACCTGGACTAAGTTGTCGTCTGCCTTGATGACCGCAAAAGTTTGCGGGGCGATGGGTCCAATACACTTTGTCAGGCTTTGTTTGGGCCTTTAAGGTAAGAATTTCTATATAATGTTTCTAAAATTATATTAATTATTTAACAATTAATTTTGTTATTATATTGTTTGTAGATTTGGATATTCGAGGCTTTCCCCAGCATGCGTACATATGCAATAAAAACGTCAAATGATATTCCCAGGGCTATTTCCTGGAAGAGGAAAACTCTGTTGGATTGGGAAGACTTAATACCATATGCGACAATAAATAATGTAAGTTAAACACAAATACTTTCATAATATATAAACAAGTTATTAATAGTAGACGTTTAACTTTGTTTGAGTTTATATTTTAGGAGGCCAACATTCCATTACAAAGACTGACACCCATGGAGGAAGAGCTTGCCACTGATTGGTGGCAAGCTAGTCAGAGTTTTTTTGATGGCACGGATGATGAGCAGCATCCATTCCTCCAATTCGAGAGCCATCACCTCACCTAGAGCCATCACCGATCGACCCGACTATACACCTCTAGAACGAGAGCCATCACCTATCCGTCACATCATCGAGCCTCTTCTCCACCATCACCTCATGAGGCGACCGGCAAAGATGCCACGACTCCTATCTCCCTGTTCTCCACCTCACCTCAACGGGATGAGTCAAGGGAGTTACGTGATGAGGTCAATGCCTTGCGTGAGGAGATCGGTACTCTACGCGATAACGATGGTGCATGGCGTGTGGAGGTGTCAACTTTACGTGGTGAGGTTGCCGCTCTACGTGAGATGATAGTATCGTTGCAGAATGAGGTTCATACTCTACGCAACGAGTAAGTTTAAGATTTTCCATATTTAACTTAATGATAAATTTACTCGTAATTTCACTAGATTAGCCATTTCACTTAGATTGCTTAGTAAATTTATTCGGTTGCTGCCAATTCTGCTAAACTGTGTATTCTTTAACACTGTGAAATAGTATTTGTCTTTGTTTTGTCTTTTGGTTGAAGTAATTTGTTCGGTTGCTGCCAATTCTGCTAAACTGTGTATTCTTTAACACTGTGAAATAGTATTTTTTTGTTTTGTATTTTGGTTGAAAGTAAATTTGTTCGGTTGCTGCCAATTCTGCTAAACTGTGTATTTTTAACACTGTGAAATAGTATTTGTCTTTGTTTTGTCTTTTGGTTGAAAGTAAATTTGTTCGGTTGCTGCCAATCTGCTAAATGTGTATTCTTTAACACTGTGAAATAGTATTTGTCTTTGTTTGTCTTTGATTGAAAGTAAATTTGTTCGGTTGCTGCCAATTCTGCTAAACTGTGTATTCTTTAACACTGTGGAAATAGTATTTGTCTTTGTTTTGTCTATTGGTTGAAGTAATGCAATCCATTCAGTTTCAATTTGCAGAAGAAGAAATAGTTTACTTTCGCAACACGAAACTTAAAATCGCAACGCGAAACCAAAATCGCAACGCGAAATGAAAATCGCAACGACAGAATCGCAACGCGAAACCAAAATCGCAACGACAAGATCGCAACGCGAAACCAAAATCGCATTGCGATTCTTTCGTTGCGATTTTCATTTCGCATTGCGATTCTGTCGTTGCGATTTTCATTTCGCGTTGCGATTTGGTTTCGCGTTGCGATTTTAAGTTTCGTGTTGCGAAAGTAAAACTATTTCTTTGCCTGCAAATGAAACTTGAATGTATTGCATTACTTCAACCAATAGACAAAACAAGACAAATACTAACTTCAGGGTATTAGTTTGAAACATATTTTTCTTTGTTATCTGATGCATTTTGTGAACTATGATAGAATAATGACTTGGGTGAATACAATGCAAGTTTGAAACATATTTGTCTTTGTTTTCACTGTTTAAATATCATGTCTGTTTATTTACTGATTTTGTATTTAATTATTTAGCGGCCCGATAGAGTGGATGCTTTACGTCGGGTTATGCTTGCACGACGGAGTTCACGCATCAGACAGCGTGCACGTGCTATTAAGTCTCCGTACACCCCAATAGTGCGAAGACACCGCAAGAAGAAGCCCGACTCGCTTGTCATCCCTCAAGAGTCCACTCCTATCGTTGAAGAGGCCCCCCCTATCATTCCTCGAGAGTCCCCTCCCACCGTTCAAGAGGCACTGTCATCATTGAAGAGGTCCCTCCCACCATTCAAGAGCCCGATTCACATGGCGTCATATGTAGGCTTCTTGAGAAACCCTCTGACGTGCCGGACATGATGGATTCAAGTTGGCTCTCGTATGAGTTACCGGCCAGTACCATACCGGTATCTGAAGAGGAGAGGGAACAACTACCGGACACAATTCTGGATAACACCCTTTGGGCTAAGACCGCTGTTGATTTTTATCTACATGAGCAGAGCCAGGGTGTTTCACTAACATATGCAAGCTCACCGATGATATCTTTTGTTGCTTGATCGTCTTGGTGGGGCGTATTATTAGGGGTCGAAGACAATGGCTATTTCGATGGGGGGGTAAGTCTTATATTTTCTTATATTTCAATTTGATTAATTTTTTTTTAATTATGTAGTCACTAATATGTCTTTTTTTGTAAAACAGCATATCGATGCGTGGGTGACACGTCTTCTAATAATAAGAAAACTTAAAAAAATAAAAATATACGATATACAATTATGCCGACGTCTTTTCACGCCGTTCATTGAAGAATGCACGAGATGAATCATTTGATTTGGGCAATGGACAAGCTAAACTTTATCCTGCATGGGGAGGTCGATAAGGTTAGTATTTATTTTAGATTGAGTTTAAAGGTTTTATGAAATAAGTGCGCAAATGAATGAATTATACTTGATTGCAGGTGTTTATCCCTGTTTTGGAACGTAAACATTGGATTCTCGCGAGCTTCAGCTCCCATCCCTTAAGACAATAGTGTATGACAGCATGATAAATTACATATCATTGGCTGATTAAGAGATGTTATTAAGGGATGGAGCTCTCATTTGGCTAAATTCTT